TATCACTTATTGACTTGGAAAGCAGCAAGGACTATCTGATGCCTTATCGAGGAGATCATATCTTGTACCAAAGGCTAGAGAAGCAGCGTTTGATCAACAATGTACGATATTGTTGAAGCCAAAGTAATTTCAACTTTGCGCTACTATTATGCCAATTGATGCTGAGTTCTTAAATCTGGTACATATTGTGACCATTGAAGATTCAGTAGCCATTGATATTAAGCAGTATGCCAATAACGACAAGTTCAAGGTGGAGGGAGATGTTTTAAACTTTGAGGAGCGGTTATATATTCCAAAAGGACCAGCATGACTCCGAGTTCTTCAATGTTGCCACGATTTTCCAACTGCGGGACATTTTGGATTCAACAAGACCTTGGAGCTTATTTCTCGAGATTTTTAGTGGCCTTAAATGTGGAAGGATGTGAAAGATTTTGTCCTCTCGTGCGACATTTGTTTAAGATCCAAGAATCCTCGGCATTGCCCTTAGGGACTCCTACAGCCAGTGCCGATTCTATGTCGATCATGGTCTTCAATTTCCATGGACTTGATGACAGACCTGCCATCATCGAACTCATTTGACAGCATCATTGTCATGGTAGATCGGCTTAAAAAGATGGCGCACTTTGTCCTTTGCAAGAAGACATCGTCCAGTGAAGTCATAGCAAGGCTCTTTTTCGATAATGTGTATCAATATCATGGACTACCAGATGATATCATATCAGATCGAGGAACCAAGTTCGTATCAAAGTTTTGGAGATCTCTCTTTGAGATACTTAAGGTGGATATCAAGCTTTCTTCGGCTTTTTATCCTCAAACTGACGGCTAGACGTAATGAGTGAACTAAGTCTTGGAACAATACTTACGATGTAGCATCAACTATGAGCAAGAAGATTGGACCACATATCGTCGCTAGTCGAGTTTACATATAACAACACCCTCCATGCGTCGACTCAATACACACCATTCTTTTTCAACTATGGGTATCATCAGAAGCTTGATTTATTGAAACTGTCAACAAATAACAATCTAGCAGTTGAAGGATTTGCGAAACAACTATCAGAGCTTCAAAATACGTTGAAGCTTCAATTACAATCCGCTCAAGAATCCTACAAGGCATTTGCAGATAGATTTCGAAATCAAGCACCTACTTTCAAAATTGGAGATAAAGCAGGGCTTCTTTGACGGAATATCAAGACCAAGCGACCATGTGATAAGTTGGACTATCGAAGATTGGGACCATTTATCATCCAGAAGCAAATCAATCGAGTGGCGTATCGTCTGGAATTATCGGCTTCTATGAAGGTACATCTAGTCTTTCATGTTTCTCTGTTGGAGCCTTATCGAGAGTCGTCCTTTCTTAGAAGAGTTCAATGTCTACCACCTAGTATTGACATTGAGAACTAAGAGGAATACGAGGTTGAAAAGGTGCTGGATTCACGGTGTCATAGTGTAAATGCTTATAGTATGTAAAAATTAGTTACAACACATTAAATGTTAATAATTCTAAATTTATGTTAGAGTGGATAATAGATTAAATTAAAAAGAGTTGGTATGAAAAAACTTTATTTTATTTTCCTTACTTAGTTTGATTATAGTATATAAAAGTTATAGAACCTTAATATTAAGTATGAATCCTTGAGAGGAGATAGGAGCCTAAAGATGAAGATTTAAACTAATAGGAGGTTAATTGGGAGGGATGAAACCAAGGCATGGTTGGATGAAGGTAGAAATAAGGATCTTCATCCTCATTGGTCGAAATCCATGCCCAATGGACTTTTAGGAGGCTGCCCGCGACCTTGATAAGGGTTTCGGCGACTTCAAAGAGGCCATTAGGAAATCAGAGGCAAGGGTTGTAAAGTTTAGGATTTTGGCTACAATTTTTGTGCAAATTTTATAGGGTTTGGAGTTAGGGTGAATAAGTTATAGCCGTTTGAAGTTAAGGTGTCAATTTGAGACCTATTGTTATTGTTTTGAGTTTAAGAGGAGTCTTACGGAAGCTTTTGGAGATCGGAAGGTGCGGCGCAATTTTTGTGCAAATTTTATAGGGTTTGGAGTTAGGGTGAATAAGTTATAGCCGTTTGAAGTTAAGGTGTCAATTTGAGACCTATTGTTACTGTTTTGAGTTTAAGAGGAGTCTTACGGAAGCTTTTGGAGATCGGAAGGTGCGGCTGGAAGGGCAACTTCAAGACATACATCTTTTGCGAAGGAAATTTTGCATTTGGAGTTTATGTGAGGGAATTATAGGGAGTTAAAGACATCGCATTCAAATCAAAGGCAGTAAGTGAGCGGTTTTGTTCAAAGTAGTGTTAGGAGCCATAACTTGAGTTTCCGAACAAAATTTTAGCTCAAACTTTGGGAGAATGTAAAAATTTGTGTTAAAAAGCTATCTATACAAGTTTCGTGGCATTTGGACTTATGGTTTGTGAGATATAAAGAAAATTGCACATGGGTATATAAAGATTAGGGTTTGAAGCGACTGTTAGGGTTTTGAAGATATCTCAAGATCCGCAACGAATTTGTGGTTGAAATTTGTTGTAAAAATTAATAACAACATATCAGTAGTTTATGTAAATTTTGAACTTGTTTGGACGGTTGGATGAAGAGTTATGAGGTGTTGAGGTTTGGGAGAATTTCCACACAAGGATATACAAGGTTTTAGAGTACTTCTACCATATTTTGGGTGTTGTTGGTTATTTAAGACTTAAGTATTTGGTGTTATTGTCCCAAAAGGAGAACTTATTTATATAAAATTAGGGTATCCTTATTTTAAGCTTGATTGAGCAATTAGTGACAGCCAGAAGTCCAATGCTTTCTTGAAGCAAAACCTCTCTACCCTGACAATGGCGAAGGTGGGGCAAGTTGGAGTATCTTGTTCATTGGTGCGACTATGACATTAATGAGCGAACGTGGGAGCCAGCTGAAAATCTCGCCAATGCACCGCAAAAAGGTACACGAATTTCATCAACAATATCCTCATAAATCTAAGCCAATTCGACAATAGCTTCCTTCTGAAGCTTGCTCACCCAAGAATATAAGAAAGGGGGAGAGCACCACCAAAATTCGTAGTTGATGTAGTTATTTTCTCCAAGATAAAATAGAATTTTTTCAGTAGCCATAGTTTGGTCTTCTGATATGAATAGCCAAGAAATAGATACTATACTAGTCAGATTATCTCAACCGACTAGTTCACGAAGGCGACGCCAAGATGAAGAATCTCCTACACCACAACGACGACGGAGGATACCGAGTAACCGATCACTGATGATTGTATTTGAATCCGAGCTTGCTTACAATGGTCAGCCAGAAGGCGTGTTTGCAGGACAATTTCACAATGAGGATATGGAAGTTCATGCTTGGTCAAAAGTTGAAGGAGTGGGCCACTACCGTTGGCTTCAAGGGCCGATGAACCACTTGCCTCGTGAACAACAGTTGGAGTTCATAACAGACGTTATACAACAGATCTTCATTTTCTTGCATTGGTACTGATTAACAACAACATTGCTTCTCAAAAACCTCGAAGCTAAAGGAGGGGATGATGTTAGGGACATAGTCCTTAGAACCTTTTAGAGACACGTTTCTAGAACCTTCTAGAAGCAAGTCTTTGGAACCTTTTAGAAGCTTCTTAGTTGATAGAAGATGTTAGGGACATAGTCTTTAGAACCTTCTAGAGATAAGTTTCTAGAACCTTCTAGAGATAAGTTTCTAGAACCTTCTAGAAGCAAATCTCTAAAATCTTCTAGAAGCTTCCTCATTGGTAGAATTTGCTTGAGAAGCTTCCTAAATAGGAGTATATATTGGAATCGAGGCTGAGGAGTTCTTCAGTCTCAACAATACATCTCTCGGAGCTCTAATTCATCTCTCTGGTGTTCTTCTTGTATTTATCTGATTAATCTAGTTCTTGCCAATTCTTCTTGAACTTCTTATTAGATCTCGAGTCTGTATTTTTGTGTCCATAATACTTCCTTAGATGATATCCTATGGTTATAGAATCTTTTGGCATCTTATTAAGTATGAGGATATCTTATGCCAAATACTAATTATTCTTAGCTAATCTTTAGATATTCCCTAATTCATACTTTATTCTCTTGACTTTGACTCTTGGTCCTTAACCTCATCTTATATCCATAGGATGCTTCTTTTAACTACCAAGAATCAATACTTTGACTATTAGCAACTTATTTAAAATAATATCTTCTACAAGGTAATTTATTCCACTTTTACTTTTACTTCCTTATTTTAACATCCATTGCAACATATATATATCTTTATTGTTAAATGAATTCAAATTATAATATACACTGTTCACATACTTGAATATTCAAATTTATTGATTGTTCTAAAATACATTGAACTTTTTATACTTCCACCAATTTGATTGTTTGAAAGGTGACAAAGTATATAACTTTCAAACATAATCAACAATTTCAAATATATTTAATTTAAAAAGATTCATACATTGATGATATTATAACCAAATTTCTATACTATTTCTAATATGCATTGAACTTTTCATAATTCCTCCAATTTGGTTGTTTGAAAGGTTGCAAGGTATATAACCTTCAAATATAATCAACTATTCAAATATATTTGATTTAATAAGCTTCATATATTAATGATATTATAACCAAATTCGTTTTCAATCTAACAATGAGAACTCTTCCATTTTATATCAATGGTTATCAAATCTCCAAGCATATGATTATTTCTTTAGTGGCTGCTACACCTCATTATATGCAAATCCCAGTTAAAAAGAAACTTTGAATTGACAGCACTTCATTAGAGACATCATACACGTCAAGGAGATTGTTTAAGAAAACTAAAATTAAGAGATTTTCGGCACAATGGACATGTAAGCTAGTAAAGCAAGCATATTTTCAACAAGGCTCAATAGTTTCACCAATCACTTCGATTTTTCAAAATGGATGTAATTTGTTGTTTTAAGAGGCAATGCAAAAGCATAAGGAGTCATGCAACTACTCTCCGTGGTGTTGCTCAAGTAATCAATGACAAGATTAGGAGGGAAGACTAAGTTCAATTATAACCGCGTATAAAATCTACCTTGGAATTGTAGCAATCGTCAATGACGTCCACAAGGTTGACAAATGACGGTCTAAGGTGCAGATTATTAACGTCTGACCATTACTCCACCATGATTTCAGAATTAGACGCCCCTAAGCATTCTCGACGGCGGTGCCGGGATGCAGACTGGCACAGCGGCGGCAACCGACACTGCGATTCGCGGTACTCAAAACAACATTCCTCGTCATGCGTAATCCACGCCAATCACCCCGACCGATGGGGTCCTGTCCCAGCACCTACACAACCCACCATCTACACCTCCGCCTCCGGGATGCGCCACACCCATGTCTCCACACCACACACTCCGCATCGTACAGAACAAGAATATTGACTTCATTTAAATTACATTGCCTGCTTACAGTTTCATACTCTCATCTTCCGACTACAATCAACATCCTACTTCACTTCGAAAACGTGTCGAAGATTGTGGTGTGCAGGGGGTCCGCCAGGTGAGTGGCCCAGTTGTCCAGGGGTCCCTTGCCCGTGGCAGCGGCCTGCGCTGCGAAACCCAAAGCGGCAACCATCGCCAGCCTCGCGTGCTTGATTTCGGCTAATTTCAATGTCTCCTTCTTGTCCTCCGTGTCCGCGAAGTTCAGTGGGTCGAAGAACTTCCCGCCCGGATAAAGACGCTTCTCGGGGTCCAGCTCCGCGTTCCTCTGGAACTCGATGAATCCCACCAAAAATGCCTCGATGTAAACCAGGCTGGTGATGCTGAACGGCAGGGGCAGCCCGAAGTATGAAGCACCGTCCACCAACTCAACCTGTACTCCCATTGCAACCGACCCGCGTCAGCCACATACCCATTGCTCGTGCATTCCGACCCACCAAATCCCTCATCACTCATCACCCACCGAACACGCCAGACAACATTCTTCATGAGTCCAACCACAACTCCGGACGTACCCGCTCAATCATTTACAAACAATGCGTCGGCGACAGGCACCGTCACGCTAGGGCTCCTAATCGGGATCCTCACGGCCTTCGACTCACACCTTCTCGCACGGCTAGCAAACCAAGCCGGTGCTCGTAATCAAACAGGGGCACTCTCCCACTCACCGACACCAACACCAACAATTCTCGACTTACAACACAATGAGAAGCCCTACCTTGCCGGCATCTTGCCATGTCACGCCCGTGAACGCCTCCACGGACAGGGCCCCCAATATGGCAAGCATGGCCCAGCGCCCGTGGATCAGCTCGCATTCCCTGAACCTCTGCAGGCCGAACACCTCGCTGTACGGCTGGAACGGGGTTGGGGCGATCTCCTCCTTCTTCGAGATGCGGGTTCCGATCACATCTCCGGCCTCGTTCTTGGCCAGGTTCTGGTTCAGCGAGTCCAGCTCAATCTGCAGGTACTCCGGGCTCTTGCCCAGGCTCAAGGGGTCGAATCCGTAGTCTCCGGGGAGGGATCCGTCCAGCCACTCGGGCGCCTGCGCGCCGGGGAACCACAGCGGCCTGCCAGCGCCGGAGCCCGAAGCCTTCTTCACCGCCTTGGACGCGGCCTTGGCAGCCTGCTTGGCCTTGCCCGGCACCGAGAACCTGGCCACCACGCGCGACCCATTCTGCACGCCCAGTCGCTCCACGGACCTCACGAACGACGACGACGCGATGCTCGCGCACCTCACTGCCTGCGCCATCGCTGCGATTTGCTCGAACACTTCCCTCTCAGAGCCGGTCACAACGCTCGATGGGTCAGTATGATCAGCAGTTCTGTCCGAGTGCAAGATGTGGCGAGCTCAAGTTTTTCTGGATACGGTCAAGATTGCGTTGGGTTGGAAACGATATCCTACTGCTCTCATGCGTGTGGCCGAGAGACGGTGCTGCGGCGCTCCCGACCAACCAGGGATCCCCTCATCCTGCCCCACTCTCCGACGGAATATCGGCGAACTTCGTTGCATTGGACGCATAGTTTTGGCGATTCGTCTTTGGCTGTGAGAGTTGCAGTGGGTCTTTATTGGCTGTGCTGTTAGATTCCTCAAGGTGGGTTATCCACACTTGGTCTTTGTTTATTCTTTTCCCTTTGGATATGGAATACTTCCTGCATGGGTTTCGCAGCCTTTTAAATTTGGCTTGCATTGGATGTATGATCGTTGAAACCTTTCGTGTGTATACGTTGTTTCTTGAGCTGAGGATAATTTTCATTCACATTAGTTGGAACGTTCATGAGCTTACCTACACAGTATCCTACATTGAGCATGTTTTATTTCAATTTGTTGTGTTTTTTTCTTCTACGAGAGTCTCCTAATTGCATTCAGAACTGTGTCTTTCTATGTCTGATTGATTTTAACAAAATATTAGAAATTGGGCTTAGAGTGCTTAAAGTGTTAATTTCATCAATTGAAATTATTTATTATACCCTTCTATACAGTACATGTGTTGAACCATGAGTGCACTGAAATGGTATTCTCATTTTATGCTGTAGTATTTTTATTATTTATTATATTTGCAAAACTTATGAAGAAAGCATTGTTTTTAAAGAAGTTTCATGTAATGTTGTAAAAATTCTCAAAACAATGTTTTGTAGGAATTTTAAAATTATACACTTGTAATCATGTGGTGGATATTGAATTCTTTTCTTGTTTATTTATTCATTTGCTCATTTTCTCATTCACTCATCCATTTGTGTGTTTATGTATGTATGTATATATATATATATATATATATATACATATATATAAAGAGAGAGAGAGAGCCAGAGATATTTGAATCAGTATACCTGTTTATCCTGATGATTATAAATCAAATTGTAGATTGAGTTTATGATGTGTGTAAAACTTCAAAACATACAAATTCACTATTATAGAAATGTCAAATATCGCACATACTTCTTGAGATTTTCTTAAATTTTTTAACAAAGTATTATTTGAAGACGTCCAAATCTAAATAAATAAATAAGTAATAGAATTCATGCATTGAGAACAGAAAGTTATATAATGGACCCAGTCATAAGTTTGATGCATGTAGTGTAAATCAATCTTTTTTGGTACTGAAAGCACAAAGTTTCAATACACATCATTTACTGTTACTTGTTCATATATACTTACAGAAAAGTATTTAGTACAATTTTAATAACACCATAAAACCAATAATGCTATTGCTTGATGATGAGAACATAAATCACTCTCTCTACATACGATTTCTACATACAAGAGAATGTTTGACAATGTGCAAGGCACTAAGCATCTAAAACCCGTCAAAGGACAAGATCTACATATTTCATGTGATATTAAAGAAAATGGATATGAAGACTATGGCAGCTTAATAATAATAATAATAGTAGTGAACAAAAAAAAAACAAAAAAAAACAACAACAACAACAACAACAATGAAGTTTTTGATGTGCTCTCAAATTTATATTTTAAAAAAACAAAGGAGATACTAACAACATATAATTAACATGAGCATGAGAAATAAATTATTCACATATTTGATTGAAATGGCGCACTTGAAATATCAAATATTTAAAAAATATTTATTTTATTTAAATGGATACAAAGTTGAATGTCTACATTACAGTTTCACAATCCAATATTGTATGTGTTGGTAATAGAAGTAAAGTGAGATGATCTGCAAAGTTTTTGTTAGTTGAATTATTTATACACATCACATAAACATCATAGTTAAGTTTTTTTTTAAAAAAATATATTTATATATATATATATATATATATATATACTTTAAACAACCATTACTCAAACATATTTATAATGCAGAATTTTTTACATGATTTTGGTAACTTTGATGACTTGATTTTGGCCATTTTTCTTAGTAATATGTTGCAGCTCTGCATTAAAGTATAATAAAAACATTATATCACTGAAGTAATGTATAATTTTTTTTTATATATACTCTCTTTTTTTTTGATAAAAACAAGAATACATTAAAAAAAAATTGTTCAAAAATGTTCAGGACAATATTTACCATTTGTGAAGATCATAAGGATTGCTTCCATTAATTATACAGGTGAGTAATTTTTAGACAATTAAATATTGATGTGCATAGAAATTAGGTTCTTTAGGTATTTTTAAAGTATATATTTGATTTGAAAGTAAGTACATCAGCCCACATTCTACATAAGTAAGATTAAGCTGATCAATAAAATTATTCTTATTACAATCAAAGTATTGATTTTTTGTGGGATATATTCAATCCATAAATTGATAGCAACTTGACTTTAGAATATGCTCAAATTTTAGAATTAGAATAAGTTATTAATAATAATAAAAAGAATCAGCTTCTATTTTGGCTTTAAACCTTTAAAGCTCTCTTTCCAAGAAAATGATAAGCTTAGAAGAAGCAAAACAAAAGTTATCAAATACTTTAGATTGTCATTAACAAACATGATAAAACTATGTGTTGTTCATAAGATTGGTCCTATAAAGTCTAAAAGATTGTTTTAAATCTTTATTTAATGATATGGTAATCCAAGATAGATGGAAAAGTTTGAGAATGTTAGAGAATAAGTCTATAGTAATATTTATATAAAATGTTTATGAACTTATCAATGATTTGAGAGAGATAAAAGAACTTTCTTTGATTATGTCATTGTTTAAAAGATAATGAAGGTACTTCCTTTAAAATTTGAGATATTAATGTGTATTATTATAAATGAGCATATATCTTCAATATTAGTTGTTTTAACAAGTAGAGTACAAAAAAAAGAAATAAAAAAGATTAAATTAGATCTATATAAAAAAATATTAATATTTTAAATTTAAAATGTAATTTGTAGACATTAAAAATCTATATGGCATCAAGAAGAACAACTCAAATCATATTATGGATATGAAAGCATAAAAAGTAAAATAAACCTAGAATGACATTATTATCAAAAAAACCAACTACTTACTTGAGATTGTCTTGTACTAGCTGTTAGGGACATAATCCTTAGAACCTTCTAGAGACAAGTTTCTAGAACCTTCTAGAAGCAAGTCTCTGGAACCTTCTAGAAGCTTCCAAGTTGGTAGAAGTTGCTTGAGAAGCTTCCTAAATAGGAGTATATATTGGAATCGAGGCTGAAGAGTTCTTCAGTCTCGACAACACATCTCTTGGAGCTCTAGCTCACCTCTCTGGTGTTGTTCTCATCTGATTAATCTAGTTCTTGCCAATTCTTCTTGAACTTCTTGTTAGATCTCGAGTCTGTATTTCTGTGTCCATGACACTTTGTCGAGGCTTCATTCACCTCAGATATCAGAGCTAGTTTCTTCTTTCTTAGAGTATGGATTACCCCTCTGCTTGGAAAATATACTAGTATTTTAGAAGTTACGGATTACCTTCCTCTAAACTGATACTTCTTTTGTTACAATATTGGAGTCTTATTCTTCTTGGAGAGAGTGGATTACTCCTTTTCTTAAAGCTCGTAAGGTATTTTAGAAGATGCAGAGTACCCTCCTCTAAACCAATATTGTCTTCTTGTAGAGTCATTTCTGTCCTTCTCTTAGAAGGGCTGGGAGCCAAGACATTAGTATGACAGAAAGTTCAGAGTCTAAGTTGCATGCTATCATGAATGCCCTCGCTACATTATCACAAAGAACTGCAGAGATTGAAGGAGTCGTCGCAAGGCTTCATAATGATGGAGCATGTGGGATGGCACAATCTAGGTTGCACCAGTCTCAAACTTCTGCACTTGGAGAAGCAACTTTGCCTTAAGTTTGACAAGCACCGCTGGTTCTACAACATAAGGAGCCCCGAGTTAGCCTTCCGCACAAGTTCGATGGTACGGGTTCCAAGTTTCGAGGATTCGTCAACCAAATCAGGTTGATAACAGTTTTACAGCCCGAACACTATCCAATGGAGGAGTCACGTGTTGGGATTGTTCGAACCTTATTTACAAGACAAGCTCTATCATAGTTTGCTCCTTTGTTTGAGAAACGATCGTCCATACTAAACAACTTTGAAACCTTTTTGGAGGCATTTGTAGAAGCATTTGGTGAACACAACAAGGTTTGATGGGCTACAACAAAGATCCGGTCGCTACAACAAGAGATGCGCTCTACATCATTCTATGCATCGGACTTCAGGCAATTAGCATGCGACATCAATTGGGATGAAGAAGCGTTGATGAGTCAATTCTATTGGGATTTAAGGGACGATGTGAAGGATTTACTGTTAACTCTTCCTGATCCACAAACGCTCAACAAAACTATTAGCCAAGCTATGAAGTGCGATAACCGCCTATTCCAATACCACCAAGACCAATATTCAAGACAACATACGGTTCGCCACGCCCCAACTATGTCAGCAAGTAGTATGAATTCACATTCAGAGGTAGAAGACATGCAAATTGATGTGGTACGTGTCAAATCCCTTACTCTAGAAGAAAAAAATCGGCGTATAGAGGAAGGTCTATGCTTGTATTACGGTGAAGAAGGCCACAAAGTTGGAAACTGTCCCAAGAAGCAAAATCGACATATTGTCAAGACTAGGGGCGCATTTATTCAAGAAAACGAGGATACCTAGGCACAATAGGAACCGTGCAGCAGGACAGTGAAATATCACAACAACAACCAGGTTCCTTTCTTTCCGCTCAACCTGCCCTTTGTTTTATAATCCCTTTGCTTATTGGCCCTCAAAAACTGAGAACCTTAGCATTATTAGATTCAAGAGCATCTGCTTGTTTCTTAGACGAAGAATTTGCAAAGCATCATAAGATCCCTTTAGTACAAAAATCCAAACTTGTTCACGTTGAAGTTACAGATAGGCGACCTTTATTGTCTGGTAGTGTCACTCATGAATCAGAACCTATAGAA